TGAGCTGAGACCTCCCACATCAATCATTCATCAGGAAAATGCCCTCACAGACTTGTCTACAGGCCAATATGATGGAGGTGCTTCCTAAATTGAGGCACCCTCTTCTCAGAGGACTCTAGCTTAAGTCAAGATGATACAAGATAACCCATGGAGCACCTCTGCCAAAAAATCAGACAAATAGAAGCAGGAGAGATGCCTCAGTGGTTAAGAGCACATCCTGCTTTTTCAGTGGCACTGGAGTACAGTTCCCAGGATTCATGTTGGGCATCTTACAACTTCTAACTCCAGTTCCAGAGACCCCCATGCCCCATTCTGGCCTTTGTGGGCATTGTATGTACACACATGTATGTGTGCACGTGCACACACCCACACACACACATTAATAATATGTCATTTTTTCTGAAGAGAGAAAAAAACAGGCAGCTGTAGTAGCATCACCTTGACTCTTGGTCCTCTGTTCTAGTTGATTGTTCTACATGTTCTTGTGTCACTGCCACGCTGTTGTCATTACTATGGTTTTTTTGATATAGACTGAAATCAGGTATGGTAATGCATTTAGTATAGTTCTTTTTGCTAAAAGTTGATTTGACTATCTGGGATTATTCAAGCAACGAGGTAGCCTAGAGAAAGGGTAAAAAAATTTTAACCTACATCTGACAGAGAGGTAGTATCTAGAACATATACAAAACTAAAATAACATAACGTCAAGAAAACTAATAATCCAATTTAAAATCAAGCATGTAAGTGAATAGTTTTTAAAAGGTGAAACACAAATAGATGAGAAGCACTTAAAGAGATGTCCAATATCCTTAGCCACCAGGAAAATGCAATGAGCATCACTTTGAGATTTCATCTTACCCAAATTAGTATATACAAGATTAAGAAAATGAATTGCAACAGATTCTTGGTGAAGATGTGGGGAAAGAGGAGCATTCATTTGCTGCTGATGGGAGTGTAAAATGGAATGAATAGCCATCAAGGAAATCAGCGTGGGGGTTCTTTTAAAAGCTGAAAACAGACCTACCACAAGATCCATCTATACTACCTTTGGGAATAGAGTCAAAAGACTACATCTTACTGCATAGTACTTTGTTCATCTGTGCTCAGTGCTGCTCTATTCATAAAACCAAGAAATTAGAACTAGCCTAGATGTCCATCAACTGATGAATGGATAATAAAAATGTGGTACCTTTACACAATTGAATAATATTCATCTGTTAAGAAAAGAATTACGAAGTTTTTAGGTAAATGTATGGATCTAGAATCATTCATCCTGATTGAGGTAACCCAGAAAGTTAAATATGACACATTTTCCCTTATATTGAGATGTTAACTCTTAAGCTTTAGATATGTGTGCTTCATTCAGAATATTCACAGAGGTTGGGTAGCTAGTAAGGGACCAGGGAGGGAAAGAGAGGATTTTCCAATGAAGTGGAGATAGAATGTAGTATCAATTGTAGACAGAACTTTCTGTCCTGCCTGGTCCCACAGCCATTCAGTCCCAAAAAAAATACACAGAGGCAAGCTCCATGGGGAGCAGAAGCCAGCAGCAAATCCAACCTTGGGAGCCAACACCGTCCTGGGACGTTGGCAGACCAGGATTGAGCCAACAACCTGACTCAGAGTCTGAAATCTCCACTGGAACTGGAACCAGAGTGGGACTGAACCTAGGACACAGAGACAACAAGCTCCACCAGGAGCAGAAGCCTGGAGCAAATCCAGTCCCTGGACACAGGCAGATCAGGACTGAGCCAGAAACCAGATCCAGAGTCAACAATCTCCACTGAAACAGGTACAGGGGAGTAACTGCTGAGTGAGCCAGAGCCAGAGACTGCTAAGGGTCCAGACGTGAATCAGAGACCTTCAAGGGAGTAGACCTAAGCCAACACCCTGGTGGGTCTGGGCTAGTCTAGGACCTCCCAGGAACTAGGCCGGGGCCAGGACTTCTGTCAGCCTGGGTGTGAGTGAATCTGGGTCCTCCAAGGGAATAGGCAGGAACCAGAGATCTCAGCAGGGCCAGGCAAAAGTCTGGGACCTCAGAGAGAGAAGAGTCTGGGACCTCAGAGAGAGTAGGCCTGAGCCACGTCCCATGTAGATTCGGGCATTTGTCTGGGACATCAAAGGGAATAGGCAGGATCCTGGAACCCCGCGGGTCCCAGCGTAAGACTGAGACCTCTGAGGAAGTTAAGCATGTCCTCTACATGTTTGGGCGCACCCAAGCCTGGGACCTCCGAGGCAGTAGACCAGAACCAGAAGCCTTTCCAGGTCCAACTCCAGCCCAGGGACTTCTGTAGGAGGAAGTCCAGACCAGGATTTACAGATACAGGTCAAAGCCTGTAACCTAAGCCAAAGTTGTCCTGAGGCAAGGAACTCCACCTTGGGCAACAAATTCCACAGGAGTGGAACTGAAGGAGACTATCACATTCAGGGGTTCTGGTCTTATGCTGAGGTTCTTGATCCCATATGGAGTTGAGTTTTTAGAAAGGTGAGAGAAGCAGATCTATGCTGGGGAATATTATTTTAAGGGGCATTGCTTTTGTTTGTGTTGCATTTGTTTAACTCTGTGAAGCTGTGTTACTGTGCCTGTCTAAAACATCTGATGGTCTAATAAAGAGATGAATGGTCACTAGCAAGGCAGGAGAAAGTATAACTGGGGCTGGCAAGCAGAGAAAATAAATAGAATGAAAAATCTGGGAAGGAGGGAGGAGCAAGAGAACAAGGAAAGGAGGATGCTAGGGGCCACAGCCACACAGCCAGCCACAGAGTAAGAGTGAAAGATTACAGAAGTAAGAAAAGGAAAAAAATCCAGAGATACAATGCAACCTTTTTGGTATAAGGTAAACAATCCTGTTGCCAGGGGTTTGGGAGAGCCTAGTTTGTTAGAGGCTGTATTATAGGTAAGCCCACGATGTTATGTCAAATGCTGGACCATTGGAACATTCCGAGTGCCTCTAAGCACCATCCCAGAAGAGGAAAAAAGCCAGAATACAGATTTTTAAAGTATGTACTGGTAATTCTCTGAACTTCCTCATGTCTCCCTTTCATCTTTAATTTTAGTCATTTGTATCATCTTTCTCTTTCTTTTGGTTAATTTGGTTAAAGTTTGGTCAATATTATTGTTTTTTCCCCAAAAATCTGTTCTTTATTTCACTGATTCTTTGCATATTTCTACTTCTACTTCATTACTACATTTCTACTTCATTAGTTCAGCCCATGGTAGATTATTTCCCGTGTATTCTTTTCAGGTGTTGTTTCTTTTTCCAAAGTTTTGAGTGTATCATAAAGCTATCAATATAAAACTCTTCAGTTTCTACGTAGGCACTTGGTGCTATGAAATTTCCTCCTTGGGCTGCCTTGCTTGTATCTCATAGGCTTTCCTGTGTTGTGTTTCCATGTTCATCCAATTCTTAAAAGTTTTTAATTTCCTTCTTGGTTTCTATCTTGACTCAGTTCTCATTCAGTAAAGAGTTGTTTAGTTTCCACAAAATTCTGTGCTTTCTACTGGGTCTATTGTGGTTGGTACCCGACTTTAAGTCATGGTGGTCAGGTAGGATGTAGAATCCTATTTCAGTTTTCCTGTATTTCTTTTAATACTTGGTTCCTATCAAAAATATGGTCAATTTTGGAGTTAGTTCCATGGGCTACTGAGAAGACAGAATATCCTTTAGAATTTGAGTGTAATTTTTTGTGTCTGTTACGTCCTGTTGATTTATGATGTTTTGTAGCTCCAGAGTTTCTGTTTAGTTTTTGTCTGGATGACCTGTCTACTGGCAAGAGTAGGATATTGAAGTTGCCCACCATCATTGTGTTAAAGAAAAATACATTTTTAGGTGTTTTGCTGTTTCCTTTATGAAACTGGATGCTCTTGCATTTGTTACAAAACTTTTAGACTTGTAATGTCTTCTTGGGCTTTCTTTTTCCTTCTTCTGATTAGTTTTGCTCTGAAGTCTGTTGTGGCTAATTACTTCTTGGTTCTGCTTGCTTGGAGTACCTTTTCCATCATTTCGCCCAAACATGGTATCCGTCTTTGATTGTGAGGAATGTTTCTTGAGGAAGCATAAAGATACTCTGTTTTCTAATTGAATTTGTTAGTCTGTGTCTTTTGGGGAATTGAGACTGTTAATGTAGAGAGCTATTTTTTTAAACATATGAATCTGTTTAATTATGTTGTTAGCAATTTAAGAAATCAGTTGGTGGGGATTCACACTCCGTTTGTCAGAGAGACTTGAGATTGCAGGTAGACCTGGAGCAGAGCAACAGCTTTGATCTTTGGCAAAATCTGCAAGTCTACAGTTTTCTGCTCCACCCTGCTCTACTACTCTATAACCTAGTAGTATTTCTTCTTCCTGTCGAAGATCTTGTGCTCCTGGTTCCTGGGCTTGCATAGCTGTTTCTTCTTGGAATAAGCATCAGGCAAGTGTTGGGGGGGGAGGGCTTAACCTTGCTGAGAGCAACTTTCTTCAGAGGTGACAATAACAAACTTCTGGCGTGTTCTGCTCAGGGGAAATCTATTGAGGACAAGTGGTCTAGTCACAAGTAGCAAACCACAGCACAGCTGCTTAAGGAAAGCCATTCTCTTGCCCCAGGGCGCCTGGTGAGGATGATCAGGGTGGTCTCAGGAGGGGCGTAGACCACAGCCAAACACCAATTTCCAAGCACAAACCAAACACAAAGAGATCCTTTATTAAGCAAAGAGACAAGGTGGCTGAATCTAGCTTTGCGGTTAATTTCAAGAGGGAAAAAGTGAGGTCAGTGAAATAAAGAATTTTGATTGCTGGACCTTGATCTTTTGATAGTTGGACCTTGGTGATCAGTCTCCGAAAAGAGCCAGGCAAACTGAAGTGGTCAAATAGGGACTAGACCTTGGTGGCTAGCTTTAGGTATGTAATCTAACAGTTTAGCAGGGGAGTGGAAATGGGAAAAGACAAAACCCAACAGTGCCATGTTTGCCATGCTAGCGCCTGCTAGAGTCCTTTAGGAAGACATACCTTCAACGCAGATCTTGAGGAAGGAAGACACACCTTTAATCTGGGCCACAGCTTCTGCTGGCGGTCTGTATAAGGACATAGAAGAGGAAGCTTTTGCTTTTTGACTGCTTGCCCTCACCTTGTTAGCACTAGCATTAGAGCCTGCTTCTTTGGAATTCCAGCACACAGAAGACCAGCTAAGACATCCAGTCTTGTGGACTGAGCAGCTACTGCATTCCTGGACTTTCTATTCACAGCCAGCCATTGTTGGATTAGCCTGTAAGTCATTCTAATAAATTCCATAGATAAGTAAGTAGATAGATAGATAGAAAATTCTCTTACTCTAGAGAACCCTGACTAGTACACCCTTGAGCTTTATTACTCTTCCTTTGTTCTGTACAATTTGTGTTTTAATTATTATATTATTATATCACAGGAGTTTCTTTACTGGCCTGTCTGTTTGGTGTTCTGTATGCCTCTTGCACCTTGATAGGCATCTTTCTTTATATTTGGGAAGTTTTCTTCTTTGATTTTATTTAAAATATTTTCTGTGCCCAGACACATGCAAGTAAAACACCAATACACATAAATAAAAATAAATATTTTTTAATTTTAAAGAAAAAGCCTTCTTTTTCTTTTTTTATTGAGTTCTACATTTTTCTCTGCTTCCCTCCCTGCCTCTCCCCTCCCCTTCAACCCTCCTCCAAGGTCCCCATACTCCCAATTTACTCAGGGGATCTTGTCTTTTTCTACTTCCCATGTAGATTAGATCTATGTATGTCTCTCTTGGGGTCCTCATTGTTGTCTAAGTTCTCTGGAATGGTGATTTGTGGGCCGGTTTTCTTTGCTTTATGTTTAAAAACACTTATGAGTAAGTACATATGATAATTGTCTTTCTGTGTCTGGGTTGACTCACTCAAAATGATGTTTTCTAGCTCCACTCAAAATGTTTTCTAGCTCCATCCAAAAAATAAATATTTTTAAAAGTATGGTAAACTGGGGGCTGGAGAGATGGCTCAGAGGTTAAGAACATTGCCTGCTCTTCCAAAGGTCCTTAGTTCAATTCCCAGCAACCACATGGTGGCTCACAACCATCTGTAATGAGGTTTGGTGCCCTCTTCTGGCCTGCAGGTATACACACAGACAGAATATTGTGTACATAATAAATAAATAAATTTTTAAAAAAAGTATGGTAAACTGAGGTTTATATCAGTTGACAATGATTTTTTAAATAAGCAAAAAATCAAATAAAAAATTTTAAATGTTTGCTAGAAACAATATGCTGTGCTATTCAAAAGCAACCTCAAGTATTTTGCTTACCATGTTTTTTTTTTTTCAGTTTTTCTCTTATGTTCATTCAGTTCAGTTTAGTCTTATATTTTCTTGGCACAGCTCCTAAGTATGTAAAATCTACTGTTCATGTTGAAAGTAAAAGGGGTTAATACTTAGAGGAAAATTTAAGATGATTGAAAAACCACAGAGGTGGGAAAATCAGTGCTGGTTATTTCTTGTCAGTCAAGCATGTCCCATTGAGTCCGATCTCCAATCATAAAGAGCAAGAATGCAGTTATGTAATCTGTTCAAGGATCCGCTCCATTGAAGCGAATGAGACAACCCAAATCCTAAAAGGACCCATAGCAAATAGAGAGGAATTTACAATGACCCAGATGAAAATGAAATACTCTGTGATGTTTATCCACAGATGAAACTGCTTAACCAAGCATTTCTCAGAATGTGGCCTCATCTTCAGCCTATACATACCCCCTCTGCCTCCTGTGTCTCATTTTCCTAGTAACTACTGTAGTATCTGAGATATTAAATACTACATCCTGATACCGAATCTGAATTTGTTTTCATATTTTCTACATTTCATACCCATATATTCTAACCAAATCTGTGTGATTTTCAGTCATCAGCCACCATTCCTAGGTATGGAAACACCCTAACTTTTTTTTTTTTTTTTTTTTTTTTTTTTTTTTTTTTTTTTTTTTTTTTTTTTTTTTTTTTTTTTTTTTTTTTTTTTTTTTTTTTTTTTTTTTTTTTTTTGTTTTTTTTTTTTTTTTTTTTTTTTTTTTTTTTTTTTTTTTTTTGGTTTTTCGAGACAGGGTTTCTCTGGTTTTGGAGCCTGTCCTGGAACTAGCTCTTGTAGACCAGGCTGGTCTCGAACCCACAGAGATCCGCCTGCCTCTGCCTCCCAAGTGCTGGGATTAAAGGCGTGCGCCACCAACGCCCGGCAACTTTTTGTGACTTAATTTTTCTGTTTTCCAAATGGAGAAGGTCTTGGCACTTTGAAGGATTGTGGTGAGGACCAAGAATGTAAGATATGTAACTGTTCAGAATCACACATGGGATGTAATACCACTGCTGCTCTTTTCCTTCAAGAGATTACACTTGCGAGCCGGGCGATGGTGGCGCACGCCTTTAATCCCAGCACTTGGGAGGCAGAGGCAGGCGGATCTCTGTGAGTTAGAGACCACCCTGGTCTACAGAGCTAGTGCCAGGACAGGCTCCAAAGCCACAGAGAAACCCTGTCTTGAAACCCCCCCCCCCAAAAAAAGAGATTACACTTGCAAATTAACATACTCTTAAGCATCCCATTTGTTAGATAGGATACTGTGGCTTCCTATTCTACAAGCTGCCTTTGCATCCTTCTTCTCCTTTCCTCACAATCTTGCACCTCCTAACTTATGAAAAACAAATAATATATTAAATGAATTCATTACATTAAAATCACTTAATCCATTGTGTAAGGAAATTAAGTTTAGGCATTTTGTGCAGAATGATTTTTAAAATTGTATACAAAAGATGCTGGAGATATGGCTCAGCCATTAAAGGCTAGGCTCATAACCAAAAATAAAACTTTATATAATCGAGTACATAATATGACTTGTTAATATTGTTTAGTATGTAAGTTAAGTCAAATAAAATTGTGCTTTGTTATAAACCGAACTTTATAACCCTATACCCATCAAAGATCTTCAACATTCCAAACATCAAGCAAAAATACTTCCTTTAAAACATTCAATCAACTGTTAAAATCATTCTGTTTGGTTTGCTTTACATTTAAGCCATCATTCTCACAAATCTTTATTGCTTGTTATCTATCTGTGACATTTCTCTCTTGTGTGACTGATAAAGAACCATAGATTTTGAAGATATGCCAAACAGTATCAAGCTGTGTCTTCCCCAGACAGTCCGGTTTCCTGCATCCTTCTAGACAAGCTGTGTTTTGATTTTCCCCAGCTTAGCTTAATTGTTTCCAATCTCTTATTCATTATTTTCAGTTTTAGTCTATGTTTTGTCAAACTACCTATTTAAATAATGTTCTCAGGAAAGATGAATTCTTGTATGCTTAAAAATATATTTCTTTATTCTTGTAACTGTCAGATATCCTAACCAGACATAAAACACTAAGTTCTTATTTCACAATTATTTCCCTTTAAAGTTTATGAAGTCCCAAGGTGGTGGCTCATCTCTATGGCCCCAGCACGGTGGCTCATCTCTCTGGCCCCAGCACCGTGGCTCATCTCTCTGGCCCCAGCACCGTGGCTCATCTCTCTGGCCCCAGCACCGTGGCTCATCTCTCTGGCCCCAGCACTTGGGAGGCTGATGCAGTAGGACTGCTGCAGTTTAAAGCCAGGGTGAGCTTCACAGTGAGGTTTAGGCCAACCTGGAAGCGTATCATAAAAAAGAAAACAAAAAAATGATTTTAGATATATTTCTTCATCATCTCATATCCAATATTGCTACATAGAAAACTGATGTTGAATATGTTCTCATCGCTCTGAAAATGGATTTTCTATTTAGAAGCCTTTAGACCAGGGGTTCTCAACTTTCTTTAATGCTATGACCCTTTAATACTTTAATACATTTCCTTATGTTGTAGTGATCCCCAACCATAAAACTGTTTTCTTTGCTACTTTCTAATTGTAACTTTGCCACTGTTATGAATTATAATGTAAATGTCTGTGTTTTCCAATGGTCTTAGGTGACCTCTATGAGTCATTCAATTCCGAAAGAGGTTACAAGTCACACGTAGAGAACAGCTGCTTTAGACTTTTCTGACAAGGTCTCACCATGTTATCATGGAATTTTGATTTTCCTGCTTCAGATTTCCAAATGCTGGGATTACAGTGGTGCACCCTCATGCCCAGATCACCATTTATAGTTTTTCCTTTTTTGGGTTTTTTTTGTTTGTTTGTTTTTGTGACAGGGTTTCTCTGTAGCTTTGGAGCCTGTCCTGGAACTAGCTCTTATAGACTAGGCTGGCCTCGAACTCACAGAGATCCACCTGCCTCTGCCTCCCAAGTGCTAGGATTAAAGGCGTGTGCCACCACCTCCCGGCTCCATTTATAATTTTATATTTAGCCTTGGAAAACTGAAATACAGTGGGGAATTATCTATGGGATATATTGTTTTATTTATCAAATATCCTACTTGATTCTTGTCAATACCCTTAAAAGTTCAAAAACTTAAAATCTATTCTGATGTCCTAAGGAATTCTCATTAATAATCTCTCCTCTCTAATCCCATAATGGCTTTCTCTATCAGGATCTTTCATTGCTCTCCTTCTCT